AATATTATATGTCATTTTAAACGACCCATTGGTATTAACATAGTAACATCAATGTATTTTTAAAAATTAGACAGCGACGCTCTCTCAGAAGTTGTTCTGTAGACGTTTATCTGTTGACCTTTTGACCTCCTGAATTCTGCAATGAGATTTTCGGGTCGATTCAGCCGAGACGGCCCGAGTGGAGTTTCATGTAAATGTTTCGTACGGGAAAAAAAAGTCGCTGCCGGGGTGGGGCTTCTATCGTTTCCTGGTCCTGTTTAGACCGGATACCATTCCCCTATCTCTACTAATTGATTCCATAAGCTCTTGCCCCTTCCGCCACCTAAATAAAAACAATTCATTTAGGTCTCTAATATCACCATTAACACATTTAACGTTTAATACGGCGGATTCAAATTACATTAATCACATAAAATAGAATTAACTTACTAGTGGCAATCATCAGCCTGTCAATTTCTGTAAGACCACCCGGCTATAGGCTATGGTTCTTTCATTTCCTTAACCAAAATACCCTAACGCTAATTTCGATAGACCTTATATACGACCCGCCCTTTTCTCATAATATACATATTATAACTAAGTTTAGTGCATACGTGGCAATTCGTGTAAGCTGCATATACGTCGTTACATATACATATAATTGCTTATACCTTCACCTGCATCTGTACGCTTCGATGCATGTGTCTGTAACTTTACTTCATGCTTAACAATACGGTAATATAAAGGGAATACATTTTCAACTGTGACACCACTCTATGCTGAGTCAAACTCTCATCATAAATCTGTTGAGATGAAACCTTGGTAGTGTATATTTTGTTTCTTCCTGAGAATCGTTTGTTCTATATAGTTAGGAAGTTTTTACTTCCTATTATTTCTAATGTAGTCCAAAAAAATATTTATGGTATCTAAGCTTTACTTTTACTTGTTTACATTATTTAAACCATGGATGTGGAATTTTAAGAATTAATAAGCAAGTAATTGATTACTACAATGGATAGAACTTCATATTTCTGTCATCATTATCCTCGTCGTCATCATTATCATCATTATGATTATCACTGCATTGTAGTTTAAGCGATCATTATTTTGACATAGAAAAATAAAAGTATGTTCTGATTTATGTCATCATTATCATCATTATCATTATCACTGTATTGTAGTTTAAGCGATCATTATTTTGACATAGAAAAATAAAAGTATGTTCTGATTTATGTCTAAAATGTTGCATAACTTTAGCATATACAAGTGTGATATTTAATTTCTAGTTCATCTTACTGTCTTTGAATTTCAGATCAACCGGCTCATCTGGAATGACGAGAAGATCGGTCGTTATGCCAACCGTCTTAGTTGGTATTATATTAAACTGGCGTATTATCTGCAATATTTTCAAAACAAAAAAATGTCAACGGTCACTTAATATCAATCGGAATATTTTTTTAAATTTAAGTATTAACTTGATACTCGGTTAGCAGTCCCAATGAGTTTTCAAACTTATTACATGTAGACTTAATAATTTCTATACTCATCATACAAAAACTAGTTTAACACTAAAATTTACAAACTTGTAATTATTATGCAACAGATTTCTGTATACACAAAATCAAATGTAATCCTCAATCGAAAAATGTGACAAATAGCTAGGCCTACCTAAAGCGAATTAAGACTGGCAGTATACAGAGTACTAAAACCAGCTTATGGTGCAATATCTATTAAATCATAAGTGAAAACAACAATAAAAGCACATATAAAATAAAAAAAGAAAGTTTAGAATATTTTGATAAACTTCTGAAATAAAAACCAACCTCTGCTAGAAATATATACATCTCCTGCTCCGCAAATCTACGACCTAAAATATTGCAAAAAGTAAAGGCCTAAAAGTTAATCCTTGCAATACAAATTGATATTACCGGTACTAATTATTACAAAAATACATTTACTTAATTAGAAGAAATTCACACACTTTATAGGTTTAATTTTTGGTGGAGATATTTTTATCAACATGCTTTTTAAGAAAATTTCTGGAACCAAAAAGAAAATTGCCTTTTTGGGGTAAAAAAAAATCGCATTTTTGGAAAAAAAATACGGTTTTCAATGTTTTGGTATTTTTGACTATTATAGTGCAAGACCTACATGTACAAATAGGTTGAGAATCAATATGATCATTATTCAGTCAGAAATAAGCAATAAAAAATGAAAAAATATAAAGAAAATCAAATAATTTTTGGACGGATTTATTTGGGACAACAGAATGACGAAATATAGATTCCAAACCTGTTTGTACAAGTGGGCCTTGTATTTTATAGTCAAAAATACCAAAATAATAAAAACAATATTTTTTCCCAAAAACTCAATTATTTACACCAAAAATTCATTTTTCGCCCCAAAAATTTATTTCTTTTTGCCCCAGAGGTTTTTCAAAATTGTATGCCTATACTAATATCTGTACCAAATTTGGCACTTTTGTCATCCAGGTAATTCAATTATTAACCTATACACAAAGCTAAAATCTAGATTGTTACAAAAGCTACCGTAATTTTTTGTCCAAAATATCTTTTATTTTCTTAATATTTTTTCATTTTTATTTGCTTATTTCTGACTAAATAATGACCATATTGATTCTAAACCTATTTGTACAGGTAGGTCTTGAACTATAATAGTAAAAAATACCAAAATATTAAAAACCGTATTTTTTCCCAAAAAAATGCGATTTTTTACCCCAAAAATATAATTTTTTGGGTTCCACAGATTTTTCAAAACTGTATGTCCATACTAATATCTGTACTAAATTTGGCACTTTTGTCATCCGTGTAACGACCCTGACGCTAAGGCACTCCACTAGTAGACAAGTCAGCTAAAGTTGTGGTAGCCACTGGATGTGCACTGGACCATGGAGATTCTGACAGACCTTAGGTCCCAGCCCAGGTTCCACTGCTACTAGTTACAATAGCGCATGGTCATAGGCGTAGATCCCGGGGGGATGGGGATATATCCCCCAATATTTGACAAGGGGGGGGGAATGGTCCATTGTATCATCCCCCCCCCCCCAATATTTTGACTATGTATGGGATAAAATGGAGCTTTACACACTTCAAAAGACTG